ATATTGTCATCTCAATAGATATGCAAAAGACATGAAAAAATTAGGTACCCGTTATGATGTTTCATTTGATAAAAATACAGGATATTTTTATTAACCTAATAATGGTAGTGTTGATAAATCTACAAATAACATTGAATTGAATGGTGAAAATTTTAATTCTTCCCTGTAAAATAAAACACAAGGAGGAAATGTTACTGTTATTTAGTAAAAAAAAAAAATCACACTCCAGCTACTACCCAGTGTAGTAAGGCAACATAGAGAAATAAGAGCCATAAATATTGAAAAAGAAGAAGTAAGCCTATCTGTGTAAATGGCAGAACAAAAAGCTTCTAGAAGTGATATGTAAACTGTGCAAAGTACTAAAATTACTGTGTGTCAATAAAATAACAAACAACTGGATATACAAAAATTAATAACATTTATTGTAATACCCTACTAGCAGATAAGGAACACATTAGTATAAATTTAATATTACATGTGTTTGAAACATGTACTGACAAACAAGAAATCAAATTGTAACTAAATATATTAATGAATTAAGAGACATAATAGTGCTAACATATGAATTCCATTAAGCTGATCTATTGGTTCAGTATAATCACAAATACATCACAGCAGGATTCCAAACTAATTCCAAAATTCATGTGGAAAGCTATAGGATATAGAATAGTCCATTTTAGGCATAATTAATATAAAAAAGCACAATTAATAAAAGGGAAAATATAAATAGACTTTAACAAAATTAAAACTCCTGCTCTGTGAAATATATATTCAAATGTCAATTAAAATATAAAATTATAACTAAATCATCCCCCCTTCCCTTTTCTCCCACCAACCTGTTCCACATTTCTTCCCGGCAACCAAGGCCCTCCCCTCTGCAAGCCCAGCACCTTATTTCCTCTCAAGTTCTTTTATTTGTTTTTTAAATTTTAAACCGAAAGATTTTTTTTCATACAATGTATTTTGATTATTGTTTTCTATGCTCTAACTCCTCCAATATCTTTCCTACTTCCCCTCCTATCCAAATCCACTTCCTTTTTTCTCTCATTCATGAAAAAACAATAATCTAAAAATAACAGTAAAATAAAATATTAAAATACTAATTTAAAAAACATTATCAGATAGAAAGGCAGCCTTTAAGACAATAAAGCATACAAAATTCGGTATATGTAATGAGCACTGAAAATTCATTGATGGCTTAAAAATAGCTAAAATATTTGAACAAGATACACACATAAAATACACAAATGAGTATATGAGTAATGTTCAGCATTATTAGCGACGAGAAAAATGAAAAGTAATGTAACTATAAAAATGTACAAATGACACACCCATTGACCACATTTTCAGTGGTCTTGACAGTAACAAGTACAGATGAAGAAATGAAGTAATGTTACCTTTCATCGAATACTGTGTTTGAAAGCATATGACTTAGAGTTTAACACACACTTAAGCATATGACCCAGCAATCTCACTCCTAGATACCTATGCAAAACACTTATCTGTACACATAAACTCTGAAAGAAAAGAAAGCAAAGTATTGAACACCCTAATTAATATGAAATAAAACATGCTGAATGAAAAGAGCAAAGCTCAGGAGAGCATACTGTATGATACAATATATGTGGGATTGTTTACATGTCAAAATTATCTGAACAGATAGATGAGTGGGTGACACAAACTGAGATCACTGGAAGCATTGATGACAAAGAGACAGCATAAAGAAATTGCTTGCTTGAGCTTATAATATTCTATGTCTTGACTGAAATGATAGGTTTATAACTACATGAATTTGCCTTACTAATACCATATTTGCAAAAGACTTAGTTTTACTGCATGAGATTTAAAACTGAATGATAATAATGATATATAAAGAGGACAATGTAAATGCAGACATACTTGTCAAAGATGTATGTGGTTTTTACTAGACTCAACTCTCCATTTTGGAAACAAAAGCACCAATGGCTGATGTAAAATTCAAAATTTTAATATTGGGAAAGTATCATATGTGAATTAGGGATGGATTTGTGTACCCAATCCCATTTATAAAATAAAAGTTTCAAAGAATGAGTAGCTGTGAGTGAATTTTCAAATAGCTTAAGTAATGAGGACCCTGGTCTAAATTTAAGTGTGGCATCAGATATATAAGTGCACTGTCATATCAGAATTTATCTGAAATATTTCCACATGAATATATAGCCTTGGCTATTGGGTACATCTAAAGAAGCAGTCATTTCTAGAAACTGTATGTTTTAAGTACTTCTAAAGCAACAAATTTAAAATATTTAACCATTGCTCTGGTTACTTGAGTATGAAATACTGAGCATAATTTATCTTTTTTATTAACACATTAAGACAATGAATCTTAAACCCAAAGGGGACATGAGAAATTCAATCCCTGAAATTAATTATTTAAGTCCTTATTTATGATAATAGTATAAATATTACATTGTTGAGAATTTGGGAAAAGTGTCCTCAAATTTCTGTTGTGTAGGAACTGAGATTAATTAGTAGGCAAGTCAAATTTTGCAATCCAGCATTTTACACACCAGGAACAGTATGCTCAAGAAATTAAGTTTTTTATTGAATAGTAAGCATTTCAGCCTAGGTAGCATTAAGGCTGTCTTATTTCTATGGTCTTGTGAATGCTGGTTGTATGGGAGATTCATAGAGTATTGTGATATGGCTAAATGACTTGTGGTTTCAATGATTAGTCATCCAATTTACACCATATTTCCATGCTAAGCCAATGTCGATGATTCCATGGAACCAATAGCATTCTGTTTTGTTTTTTACATAAAGTGATTATTTTTTAAAAAAGATCTTTCTAATTATTATTGCTTTGTAAATGGTTAGCAAATTTGGCTGTGTGTTCATTTAATGTAAACAAATATAGCTAGGATGGGTAGATCTAATGCCATCTTGTTCTGAATGCTTGTCAAGTTGTTACAGTAAAAATAGCTCATTAGAGCAGCATCTTTTTTGCTACTAGTGATGAATTTAAGAGAAAGACTAAACATTTCTTAGCATTTCCTGTTATCAGTATTATAGATGTGTTTGGTGCTCAGCTGCTTACAATTGAATATTGATTATCAGTGGAGAACTCTTGTTGTTCTTTATAAGGGTCTTATTGTATTTGGGTAAGTGTAATGATTGCAGCTAGCCAATAGGAATATAGTCCATCCTATATTTAGAGGGAGGTATCCTCACACTTGCTATCACCTGATTCCTGCCGTATAGGCTTATTGCTGTAGGTACAACTGCACAGGAAAAAGAGTGATTATCCTAGTTATGCATTCATAATTTGCAGTTTTCAAACTTCAGAATTCATCCCATGATACCTGGCTTCTAAGTCAGCTGAGATATTTCAGGTATTTGACTTCCATTGTCTGGATCTTCTTCTGCTTTTGGTTGAACCATTTAGGTAAACTCAGAGTTGGAAGCCATAATAGTCAAAATTGTTTTGATGGACACTGTCCCTGCCTACTGTCGCAATCATCCTTGAGTGTTTGGTCAAGTTGACATCTACATTACTGAACATCCTTCAGAGCTCTCCTGCAGAAAGTTAATGGAGGTCTTTATTTCTGAATGTTCCTGAAAGAAACTCTACTCTCGTCTCTCTTGTGGCCTCTCTTACATTTAATTTTCTCTAATCAAATCTCTTAACAGTTAGAGATGGACTTGTGTGAGCAAGGAAGAAAGTTAAAACAAAATAGCAATAACATACATAGTAGTATAGGGTTACACTTTATAATTCATTAATTTTTGTTGGATAGATTTACTATGATATGTACTCTGAGTAGAGTAAAATAATTTGTATTTCCATATTAGTGAACTTGATTATTCAATACACTCTATACTAGGAAGAATGCTTAGTTTGACTGAGGTTGTTTTATTGTGGAAGTTTTCCTAATTCTAAAGAACCTTTTTCTCAGAAAGTCTTTCTGTGTGACAGATTTTTAAATAAAAACCTGAAACTCACTTAATCAGATTACAAGTGTTCCTTATAAAAATACACTACTGTAATTCATCCTTTCAAAAATAGAGTTTGACTTGGTATTTATTTGTGAAATACACAAAGTTCTTAGTCCTTCATATTAAACATCTCATCTATTGGCAGCAAAAGTAAACTTACTTTGTCTAATTACTATGGTATCAGTTCAACTGAACAAGACAGAGTTTCCATATTGTTTTAGTAAATTATACTGATTTTGAATATTCATTTAGATACTATAGTTATTAAAATAATTAGTTTTGTTAGTATTACATACAACAAAGGAACATTCATGGTTATTAACCTCCTCTTTTTCTCTAATCTTTACTGAAATGTTTTGTTGAGCTGAAGGTGTTTGTGAACCCTTATAATTCTAGAATTTGGTTGAAGCAGGAAGATGAGGAATTGAAGGCCAACCTGAGCTCCATGAAATCCTATCTCAAGAGCAAAAACAAACAAACAAACAAACAAAATTAAACAGAGGTTTTGTTTTAATATATACCGAAACTCCTTTTATCTCAGAAAAAAAAAAAAAAAGAGTAGAGTCCCCTTGTTTGCAAGCATGGCTTCTGACTGTTAAGACATATGCCAGATGCTTTTTTTGACGAAGAACAGTGAGTGTCCCTGTTGATAATTGACTGTGTATGGCTAACACCATCTCTGGCTTTACTAGCCATAAATATTTATTTCAGCGAAAACCGTTTTTTCCCCATGAACTGACACTAACCAGATAAGAGCATGCCTCTTTTTTGCTTTTTTTTTCATTTTCTATATTTCTGACTTTGAAGTATGTGCTTTTCTAAGCAAATTAAATGTTTGTATATTTTTTAGGGAGAAGCTGTCTCCCTCTAGGATACAAATTACTGCCCATTCCTGATGATTAATTTACCTAAATAAGTTGTTCAGCTCAGAAGCACTGAAATTGTATCAAGAAAACAAGAGTGTTCAAATTCTACACCTTCCAAATTTTGATTCCAATTTTCAGAGTATCTTCTTTTATTTTTAGATGAATCTACGTTCTGTATTTACTGTAGAACAACAAAGGATTTTACAGCGTTATTATGAAAATGGAATGACAAATCAAAGTAAAAATTGCTTTCAGCTCATATTACAGTGTGCACAGGAGACTAAGCTGGACTTCAGTGTAGTCAGGGTAAGTATTGAGGTCTTGCACTTGAATTTATAGCTTTTTATTACAAATGATATCTGCTTAATATAAGAAAAGGTATTCAGGGTATGAAGTCCTAACTTTATACAGAGCTTCATTTCCCTGGTGTAAGAATACTATTTTGATAAATAGAGATACCACACAGTCATACTTGTTTTCGTAAATACTTTGAGAACACTAAAACCCTTGCAGTGTGGACATACCTCTTACATAATCTTCAAACCAATAAATACCGGTAGCATTAATTTTGGGTTGTTGGTTATATGCTTTTTTGAAATGCTCATTTAATCTACTTAGAACCTCCATATTGATGGTGAAGCAGATTTTTCGAGGCAATTCCATGTTCCTCACTTTGTTGTTGTATTTAGAATTTTTCCTCAGACGTTTAGGATTTGAGCATTTTTTTTTTTTCTGGAAAGTACAATAGTTTTTTACAGATACCTATTTCTTTCTAAGTAAAATGTAAATATTTAGTGGTTGGTGAATGAGAGACAGGGAATCCCACGGGAAGAAACCATTCTTATTCTGTTGTTTAAAAAAATCAGAGCTGCTACACGCAACTGAACAGCAATGAGGTGATAGCAAGTGATAAATCTAACAGAACTAAGGACCGATTTTATTGAATGCATTGGTCCTTTCATGTTTATCTAAACATTCTACAAATCCTTTTGGTGTGGATCCTTAGTGATTCAAAGTTTCACAACTTTCCCATCCATGGCAGTCACTCGGCTAATTTGGGGTGGGGGCAGGAATGATATATCTTTTTCCAGTTTGTTTTGCCATATCTTCAAAAATCCCAGAGAAAAGATCTGTGGATGGAACTGTTTCAAAAGTTCTTCTTAAGAACTAAAGTTATATTCACATTCAAATAGAAAGTTGTGCCATTTATTATAGGGAGAAGTATTCTTATTGCTTGAGATCAGCTATAACATTCACATTTCTCTAAAAAACAGAAACATCTTTTAGTGAAAGCTCTAAATGCACATTTAAATTAACCACTGAATCTCAAAGAAAAGTATTTAATGGCTTTATTAAAATAATAAGATATTTCAAGTTGTTGAGATTGCACTTTATACAATGACTTTTTTCCGAGTGTAATTTTTTTGGACTTTTCTTCCCTTTTGTCTTAACATTACTTTAAACTAAATTGTCTTCCCAGGCAGCAGTGATGTGGCTCATCCCTCAGAGTTCATAGTTGTCATTGCACTTTTCCCTTAAAGCTAATTTTATTGCTTTTAAATATAGAGATTATAGAAATATAGATATTTATATTTATACTGAGTATGGAGTAAAAACATAAAACAGTGAGAGTAGTAGATTTCAATTTTTAGAATGTAAGGTTGTGAGTCTAGCACTGTGTAAGATTAAAGGAATTGTGTGTAAAGCAGTCAGTTCTCTTCATTCCAGGAAAGCATCAGTGGTACAAAAATGCATTGTTTTGAAACTAAATCCCAACATAATTTTCATTATTTTTTCATTCAAACAAAAGCTCAGCAGGGTAGTTTGTAGATTTGTAAGTCTATGATCTCCTCCATCTTTTGCTGTTACATGTCCAACTTGAAAGAGATCTTCATTAATTTTTAATATAAAGTTATTGTGCTTCTTCTCAGAAGAACTTAAGTCCATTATATTAAATATTTACTCTAAATGTAAAGTGAATGTAAAACAGCGAATAAAACATCCAACAAAAACAATCAAAATGAAACAAACAGTGAGATATAGAAAAAGGTATAAAATGTAAAACACAGAGATATGAAAACACTCTAAGTTCTATAAGAAACCTATTCTTTTGCATGCTAATCTCCCCCACAAAAATAATAAAAATATTCTGACATTAAGTAATGATAATGATTATAGACTGCTGATGGTATTTTAATAAACAGTGTATGGAAAGAAGAAATTTAAAGATAGTTTATTTTTAAGATAGAGCTGAAAGAGAATTTTATGACCTTCAAATGTTGGCAACTCAAATCCATTTCATTTTTCTCCATTTATAGTCTGTTTGCTAGATTATCACCTTAAATTTTCATTATACCGGTTTTGTATGGCATACTTTTTCTTTTTCATGAATTAGGCATTTGCAAAAAGTAGGTGCTTATATCTGGTAGGCATAAATTTTAGATCCTACTCCTGAGCAGTGTAGGGTAAAGTTTAATTATTGTAATTCATGAACAATGAGTTTTATTTTCAGCATTTTAAGTACAAGTATTTCTTAAGTATATATTTTTTCCTTTTTTTAATGGAGAACTTGGAAAACAATTGAACTCTTAGTTTTTGATTGGTGTTTCATGATTTCTTCTTCTTCTTCTTCTTCTTCTTATTATTATTATTATTATTATTATTATTATTATTTTCATTTTTTGAGACAAGTTTTCTTTGTAGCTTTGGAAGCTGTCTGGAACTAGCTCTTGTAGACCAGGCTGGCCTCAAACTCACAACGATCTGCCTGCCTCTGCCTCCAGAGTGTTGGTATTAAAGGCGTGCGCCATAGCATATGTCAGTTATGCTTAATGCATTTCATTACATTGTTTTGGGGATCTCTCTCTCTCAATCTCTCTCTCTCTCTCTCTCTCTCTCTCTCTCTCTCTCTCTCTCTCCTGGATCAGGAGTTTTGTAATTTGAGGTGGGGAGCATAATTGCAGCATCGGGAAGCAGAGGCTGGAGGGTCTTTATAAATTCATGGCCAGCCTATCTACATAGCCAAACCCTGTCTCAAAAAAGAGGTTGCACGAAAGTGTTAACTTCAAAGATTTGAGAAAATAGATATTGCCATGAAAAAGCATTAAAACAAACCACAAAGTTCTATATAATATAAAATCCACTTTTGCAGGAAAATACCATCCACAAAAATGAACAAGTCTTTAAGGTTGTGTGGATAATTTAAGTGTTTATAAGCCAAAGGACAATAATTTGATTATATCAGTAAAATGATTGATAAAAAGGTCAAGATATAGATGTTTATTGAAGTTATGATATATTCACATGTCTTCCTTCTTTTTCCTCCCTCTAAGCCTTCTCATACATCACTTCCCATTATACCTCAAATTCACAGCCTCTTTTTTTACTAATATTTTCTGCACACATACTTGCATATGTATAGACATATATTCCTGAGAAATAACCTGTTCAATCTATATGTTACTTGTATGTATGTTTTCAGGCCTGACCGTTTGGCAATGGACCACCAGTTGGTGTGTTCTTCCCTGGGGAAGACTATTTCTCCTACTCTCAGATTTCCTCAGCTGCTTATAATTCTTTGTATAGGGTTAAGGCCTCATATTTTAAAATAAACACTCTAAAATCAGATGTCCTTGGGGCACACCTGTAGTCAGAGCACTGGAGAGAAAATGGCTATGGAGAATCAGGAGTCCAAGTTCACGTTTGGGCTGATAGCATGCTGGTGCCATCCTGACCTTCATGAGCCCCTGTCAGAGAAACACAAGCATTAGTGTGCAATGAGAATTCTTCAGGACTTAAAGAGGAACTTTATTGCTAATATTAGGTGAGAATTTTTTTCTTTTGAGTTTATAATCCTCCCACAAAATGTATCCCAAATATTTTATTTCAGTCAGTTGTGAAACCGTTTTGCTGTCTCTACTATACGGGTCTTATTTTAAAGCGCCCATTCAAGCAACAAAGCCTGATTAGGCACACCTGTGATAATAGTGCTAGGGAGGTGCAAACAGGGTGTTTAGAAATTTGTGCTCATCCTGTAGTACATAGTATGCAGTGGAATGTAGTTTAGGATGTGTTCCTTTCGTTTATGCTGTGGAACATTTGTTTAATGATGCAAAGATGTGTTGCATTCTTTTATGTTGTATTTGTTTAACTCTGTAAAGCTGTTGTACTTTGCCTGTCAAAACATCTGATTGGTTTAATAAAGAGCTGAATGGCCAATAGGTAGGCAGAAGAGAGGCTAGGCGGGGCTGGGAAGCAGAGAGAACAAATAGGAGGAGAAAGAAGGATGAGACAGAAGCAAGAAAAGTAGAAGGAGAGGAGGACGCCAAGGGCCAGCCACCCAGCTACACCTCCAGCTACTGAGTAAGAAGGGAAGACAGACATATAGAATAGAGAAAGATAAAAGCCCAGAGGCAACAGGTAGATGGATAATTTAAGAAAACTGGCTAGAACAAGCCATGCTAAGGCTGGGTATTCATAAGAAAGAAAAAAAGTCTCCACGTGTATTTATTTGGGAGCTGGTTGGTGGGTTCCCATAGAGTAAAAAACTAAAAAAAAAAGTATATTAGTATGTTCATGGATAGTCTGACTATATGATACCCTGTCTCAAAAGAAAAAGAAATTATATATCTAAACTAAAAACAAACTAATAAAATTTAGTAGTTCTATATGTAATTTAAATTATCTTGGATGCATAAGTACAATTAATTTATTGGTACTTTTAAAAATTGGGCTGGAGATATAATTCAGTTGATAGACTACTTGCCTGACATGTACAAAACCCTGGGTTCTATTCTCAGCACCGTGTAAATTTTGTTGGGTGGTACAGAAGTAAGGGCAGCTGGGGATTTGTAGCAAATCCATACAACTTTAATAATATCCTTTGCTACATAGTCTAGCTTGGGCTAGAGTCTCTGTATAAAGGAAATTTACAACTATGTAAGCTAACAAAGAAAAACCATATGTCCAAGATTAACAAAGCCATTGCCTTGTACACGGAGTCAACATGACAAGTGAGATATTTGTATTTTATTTAGTAGCCATATAAGCAAGCACATATACTACTCCAGATGGTTTTCTATTTTAGTAGTGATCTATTGAAATTGAATATAAACTTCAATACTGCTTTGCTTTTAACTATTCTTCTAACTTCTTATTACATGTCACTTAAATCTTATATTTATTAATGCTCTAAAACTGTAAGAAGGATAATTAAAGGTTCTACTCAGAAATATAACACTCCATGGGAATGGTATACAAATAAATCATTTGGGAAACAAACTGAAAACTTTGAGTTGAACATCATATTAATTAATATTGGTCAATGATTTGGCCTCTGAAACAGACTAATGATGCTGCTTTCTTTATCCTACTAATCACATATTATTACCCAACAAAGCAATTAGTAAACAGAGCTTCCTTAAAATAGTACGAATGAGAAAATTTAAATTCTTTTTATTATTATTATTATTATTGAAAAAAATTTCCACCTTCTCCCTGCCTCCTACTTCCCTCCCCCCCACTCTTCTCCCCCTCTCCCCACTCCTCTCCCCCTCCCTCTCCAGTCCGAAGAGCAGTCAGGGTTCCCTGCCCTATAGAAAGTCCAAGGTCCTCCAAAAATTTAAATTCTTAAAGCACTGTGAGAATTTCACAATGGGAGCTAATAAACAGCTAGCTATATAGTGTCATTCCTAAGGATACATGAAGTCATACATAAAGAAACAAGATGTGATCACTGTTTTACACATGTAGGAATACTAGCAAATCCATCTAAATGTATGGTTTGTTGTAACAGTTCAAAAATATTTTATAATATCCCCGTTTTACAAGTCAAGGAAGAGCTACTATACTGTGGTCTTGAATTCTGTTACTATTAAAACTGAGATTAGATTAACATTAGATGTGGACGTTTCTCTATCAGGACTTCCAAACCTCCAGAAATTTTGCTGACACTACATTCCTATTTTCCATATGTAATTGGGGAATCTGGGCCACTAATTCTATGTTAACCTTACTCAGAACTATAGTTATTTAAAGGTACCATCCACACTTTCAGTCTACCCATTGACACAAAAGCAGTTATCAAGAGTAACTACCATACCTACTTAGACTCTATTCCTTAATGCAAGGTCAGTATTCTTCAGCTTCATGTTCTCCTCCTACCAGTCTGCTAGTATTTTTTTTTTTTCTACTTATTTTTCTGTATTTCACACTACCCTGAACCATAAATTATTTTAATGATGTGGAAATGAATAAAAAGAACTGTAAATATAAACTCCCCCTGCCACTAAATGGGTTTTGAGGAACAAGAATAAAAAATAGAATCCAGGGAGTGAGAAATCTTAACTTGGATACCTCCCTTTCCTTGTCTATGCACAAATATACAATGTTAGTAGTTGCTCAGAGACTGAGCCTGCATCCTTTCTCCCTCCTTTTTAATAATCAATGTTTAGTGAATAATTTTAAGTATTATCAGGGAGCCCTATAAGAACTTTTATTACTCCCAATTCCATTTCTATGTTTTTGTTTTTTATTTGTAGGAAAGTATGATACTATATTTGTTCAAAGTATGTGTAAAATCAGAGAAAGTAAGCTACAAGTTTAGTAGTCACTATATTAATGGGCTAAATTAATCTGTGTAGACTGTGTTTCAGACAAATGAGGTTTCTGGATAACTAGATAGCTGAATTTCATATGTACATGATATTTTACTGCAATTTAATTTTGATGTGTACATAATATATCAAACCATATGTGCTATTATGTATAATATGCAGTTATATTTGTAAACAACAAAATTATATAAGTATGACATATTATGAAAGATGCCTCTAGATCCTAGAATCAAGCTTACCAATTCATCATGCTTTTCCTCAATATTTTGTAAGCTTAGTTATATATAGTTTATAATGTAAGTATACATAATTCTTCTTACGCATTTTTTAAATTGAAAAGCTGGAAACATTTTAAATGTTTATGAAATTCACCTTTTGGGAAATGGTGTTTTTCCAAAGAGTTTTTCCTCTGTTTTCTTTCCTTGTGATATTTGTACTTACACATATTTCAGATCTTGCTTGTAGATCCTGCTACTCCTGTTCAAGGAAGTCAGAGTGACTTTCAAATTCCCACTATGTCATGTGAAGCAAAGGGGAACGTCACAGTTTCTGGAATACTTTCTTTATTAAAAATAAACTCATAAAAGTAAGATAGTCGATAGGTGACTAGTTCAGGAGGTTCTAGTCACTTCATATGAGGTAATGAAAGAAGAATCCATTTGAGAGCAAGCAGATTTTTGCTACTTGCTGACAAGGTATCTTCCCCAAAGTTATTATTTTTGGACTTCAGTTTTTTCATCTATATAATTTAAAATGTAGCACCTACTAATATAACTAAAATATATAAAGAATAGTCATTGTAGAATCTAGTACATGCAATACTATAGCAAAATTAATGTTGTCTATACATTGTGTAAACACTGCAAATTGGATAATTTTTGAGGTTTTCAGATGCACATCATTAAAAACTTGCAAAAAATAAATCTTACATCATTTATTGTGAGATTAGTTTATTTAATATTTTCATTTATTCATTTATTTTGTTTAATCCCTAAAAGATTATCGTGTTTTAGTAGTTTATCATATGGCATGATTTTTTTAATATAAAGTTGCATAATCACATTATGGAATGCAATATATTTATTGCATATTTTAAGAAGAACTATGATTCAGGGAAATTATACTAAAGTAATTATAATAAATTACTTATGTAAAAGAATGTACTTTATAATTAAATTCTAAATGCCAACCTATTGTATTACCTCTATGCATTACTTTTTTCTGTTTTTAAAAGTAATATATTTATTGCATGAAACTTTTTAAGTACAAAAAAGTAAATGACTACTATACATTAAGGATAAACCAAAGAATGGTATAATATAACCAAGTTACTACCTTTATAGAAAACTTCTCTTACAAATCAGTTAAAAGGGCAATATCCCAATATGAAAATAGGTATATGTAATGCATGATAAGATCTATCAAGATAATATAATAACCATTGAAATCCAATCAAAGCAACAATCATGTACCTTTTATCAGATTAGCAAAAACTACAGAAGATGTAAACTGGAGGTTTGAGGTAAAAAAATTTCATATTTTGGAGGGTACTTAGAAAATAATAGATTTTTGCTATTTCTTTTCTAGAATTGCATGACAAGGAACCACCAACACAAAGATTTATGCAAAATGAAGTATATAATAATGAATATATCTAAAAATAATATAAATAGTAGTATGATATTAACCACATTATATATATCCACCCAATAGATGTCATTAAGTCTGAAGATTATGAATTCACATTTGATTAATAATGCAATGAGTATTTTCTAATGAGTTAAAGAGCTGACTTTAGTGTTCTTTCATTTTTTTGATATTATAAATAATAAATGTGATTAACTATAAGCTTTGTCTATGCCTGTGCCTACATTTTAATGGTTATTAGCATATATGAATTATGCATAATATTGAATTGCATCATGGCATTTTCATGCATTTATATACTGTATTTTGGTCATCTTCACCTCCATTTCTCTACTCTTCACCTCCCACACCTGATGTTCCCCTTTCTCTTCTCAACCTAGTCACATTTCTCTTTCCAGTGTGTCGTTCTCTTTTTGTCTTTGTATCAGTATGTGATGACTTTGAGTTTCATATCAGGGCTGTTTACAGGGTTCTAGGGGAGGAATTGTTTACAGGAGCATGAGCTCATTACTGGAAGCTATGACACTGAAGAAAAAATGTATTTCCTTTACCCCAAAAATTATTAATTTCCTATAGATTCACAGGAATGGTTGGGGCATGGTGAGTCTTCCCCATGGCTATTATTATATCAACTATCAGCTATCTACTGATAGACTGGGGAGTAAGGGGTGGGCTCAAGTAGGTTAAAAGGATAACCAACTACTCTTATCTCAGATATGAGTCCTGATCTACAGGAAGAAATCCACTACCGGTACTATAAACCTTGTGAAAATCACATGGTTGGGAAGGTCATCAGCCCTAGTGGGGAAGCTACTACTACTGTTTTGCAAAACGGACACTATGTGCCATCAAATTGCCATCTAAATAACTGTGTTTATACTCAAATTAGTGCCCCTATCATCTTTGGTCAGAGAAATTCCTTCTTGCTGTGTGAAGTGCTAAGTGCAGAGACTTATAACTGGTCAAACTGTAATTATGTTTTAAAGATATATTTTTGGCAATGTATTGAATAGGCCATAGGATATAAACACGTTTAGAATTCTTCAATATTTTTGCAATTCTTGGGACATATCAATTTGGTGGATCATATGGCAGAGAGAAATATGTTCTTACTGATGTTCTCATGTATTTATTGAGTAAGTACTTAATCATGTTTGCTGTTAGACTTTTGTTACTTTGTCTTTTATTGGATCTTTTCCTTTGCCCATGTCTAAGCTCTGTTTCTATGACAAGAATATAGTTTATTACATGGAAAAGGATTTTTCTAAGTTCATTGTTACCTTTTATTATATTGCCATTGTTTTTTTTTTTTCTTTTATCCTTTCAGACGTGGGTTGGCAATAAGCGAAGAAAAATGAGTAGTAAGAACTCTGAATCAGGAACAGCAGGAACTGTTTCTGGTACCTCATTGGCAGCTCCAGACATTACAGTCAGAAATGTGGTTAATATTGCCCGGCCTTCAAGCCAGCAATCTTCTTGGACTTCTACCAATAATGATGTCATTTTAACTGGTATATACAGTCCAGCAAGCTCATCGAGTAAGCAAGGGACAACAAAGAATGCAAATACACAAATTACAGAAGCACATAAAATTCCTCTTCAGAAACCAGCCAGTAAAAATGACACTGAATTTCAATTGCACATTCCTGTTCAAAGACAAGTAGCACACTGTAAAAATGCTTCTGTGCTCCTAGGGGAAAAGACAATTATTTTGTCAAGACAGACAAGCGTACTAAATGCTGGAAACTCGGTGTACAACCACACAAAGAAAAACTATGGAAGCTCTCCGGTGCAAACTTCTGAAATGACAGTACCTCAAAAGCCATCTGTGTGCCACCGACCTTGCAAAATTGAACCAGTTGGCATTCAAAGGTCAAATAAACCTGAACATGCAGGTCTGGCATCACATAACTTATGTGGGCAAAAGCCAACTGTTAGAGACCCTTACTGTAGAACACAAAACTTGGAAATTCGTGAAGTGTTTTCATTGGCAGTCAGTGATTACCCTCAGAGAATTCTGGGAGGAAATACCACACAGAAGCCTGGTTCAGCAGAAGGAACTTGTTTGTCCATTGCGATGGAGACTGGTGATGCAGAGGATGAGTATGCTAGAGAAGAAGAGCTGGCATCAATGGGAGCACAGATAACAAGCTACTCAAGGTTTTATGAAAGTGGCAATTCTCTTCGAGCTGAGAACCAAAGTACAAGTTTGCCTGGACCAGGAAGAAACCTGCCAAATTCACAAATGGTGAATATTAGAGATTTGTCAGACAATGTACTGTATCAAAATAGAGACTACCATTTGACACCACGGACCTCATTGCATACAGCACCTAGTACTATGTACAGTAATACTAATCCATCCCGGAGTAATTTTTCTCCACATTTTGTATCATCAAACCAATTGAGGTTATCACAAAACCAAAATAACTACCAGGTAAGGTATTAAGTTGTTTTATGAAGATTTTTAAAGGCATGTTTGATTGAAAAACAATGTTTGTGTACAGTTAGATCATAGCCTAGGTCACAACTCATATTTTTAAGCAATTTGAGATTTTATTTGAAAATGGTGGATTGTTTTCAATACCTTGAAGAATACTGTGCATATCAAGTTTTAAAATGGTGAAGTCTTTAAAAAATATATAAGAAATATAGTAATTTAATAGCAACTTACTGGTGACATCAAAAAAAATTGTTCAAGAAATGGTACCTTTATATAAAGTATAGCATTTCGCACATCTGAAATAAAATTAAATTGGTTATGTACCCAATTGCCTTCCTTGAATACATAGGCAAGCGAGTCAATCAGCCCTTTAGATGTCAATGGCTAAGAACTTAGAATTTGTGGCAGTTTAGCCAACTGATTTGTCTAAAGGTAGGTGCCTAATTCAAATGCTAAGTTGACCATTAATCAAATAATCTTTTTGTTTGACACTTATTTGGAAAGCTATATCCAGAGTAAGTCTTTAGTAAGCTTTAGACCTGGAAACAAAACAGTATTATTTCTTTACTGTTTTACATATTCAATTGTTTAGGTATGTTTCAGATAATCTCTTTAACTGTGAAGTATAAGTCTACCTCAGAAGCTTTCTTAAGATCTTCTGCCTTAAAAAATATGATTTTGAGAAGTTAAATAAGAGGGTGTGGATGCTTAATTTTCCTTGCTACTGGCCATACATCCTTAGCTCTTCAACCACAATATTGAAAGAAAGATGCTCCCAGGATGTTCCAAATTTAAGACACCATTTTCTCCTAAGCCTCTCTACCTTATGGTTTTATAATTCAAACTGGAAAGCAATAGCCGACTGTAGTGGTATAAGTTCCTAAGCACCATAAGCTCCTGGTCATCCTAATTTACATACAATTTCCAACCCAGCCAGAGCTACATAGTGAGGCCTATCTCAAAGTAAAAACAATAGAGACAATGAGAGTGGGGGAAGGAAAATAAAAAAAAAAAAACAATGACATAGACCTGAAAGCACCCTTCCTAGCATATGCCCCTAACAAAGAGGAAGTTGGTGATTAGGAGTTACTTCATTTTTCTATTTGTTCTTTACCAAAATGCATATTTAATATAATGTTGAATTATATCGTTAATATCCTCATCACCTTATGCATCTTTATTTTATTTTTACTCTTTTTGTGTTTTATTTAATTATTTATTGAATGATTGATTTACCATAAGGACTTGATACACAGCTGTGCTTGGTCTGATCTGGACTAAAACTTGTTATCCTCTTACTTCTGCCTTCTGAGTGTTGCAATTATAGGCATATGTCACCATTTCCTGACAGTGTTATTAATTCTAATAATAATATTGTTTACCATTTGCTGAAGGACATCCAAAAGTCTCAGGCTAATCTGGGCTACATAATTAGGTCCTATCTTAAATGTAAACTAACGTATATTAAATGTAAATACCCTGGTTCTCTTTTGCTTATTGTAGAGAGTATTTTTTTCATGCCTTTAATTGCAGAATATGGGTGTTCTTGAATCTAAAATGAGTATTTTGTAGCCAAAGGATTATTGAATCTTGTTTTTGTTTTCTCTATTCAGCCATTCTATATTTGACTAGAGAATAAAATCCATTTACATTTAAAGTAATTATTGCCAGGTAAGGACTTACTATTCTTATTTGTTAGTTTGCAGTTCCTTTTTTCGTTTATTCCTGTTTGGATGTCTTAATTCATAATTTTAAATTGTTTTGTTAATAATATGTTTTTATTCCATTTTTGTCTTTTGTATAACTACCAAAAGTTTTTTTTTGCTTAATGATTATCATTAAGTCTGAATAAAATGTGAAAATTATTTCTTAAAGTTTAGGTTTTTTTTCTAATAGGCCCACTACTTAGAGATTCTCTTGGAATATTTTGTTAGATTTATTTTCTTTCTCTGAATGGACACTAGTGTCCTGTTTCTTTTCATACACTACTTTTTATATTGATAATTTGGGGAGCAACAAACTTTTCTAGTTTTAGCATCCTGGCTTTATGGAGACATTCACTGGTCAGTCTAGCATAGTGTTTTCAGGTCTTTTAGTCCGTTCATAGGTTTCCACTGAGTACTTATGCATATTTAACAATTCCTCTGTTTTAGTAGCTATGTTAAAATATTTTAAGTTGTCTGAGCCTCACTCTAGCTTCTTGAGGAACATTAGTTATTGTATTCTATTTTACAATTACTACTATCTTTCTCCACATTTCTGTGGATCATCATTCTCCATAAGATTTTCACAACCCTTGTCCATTGTTTTCCATCATTTCCTCTAGCCTGTGAGCTCACCTGCACCACATTTGTCTCTCGGAACTTCCAATCCCTCAGATGGCCTGAGACACATTACAGTAATGAAAAATACAATCAGATTAAGTCTGCTTCTTGTTCACAGAAGAAAACCATGTATTGGGCCAAAGCTGCCTTCAAGTCATGTCATGTCACACTAAAAAATATTTGTCTAAAATGGCTCAATAAAATGCCATACATTTTATAACCACATTGACCAGGACAGTTTCTTAGTCATTTGCTTTGTTTCTGTAGGTTTTGACAGGTTTTCAGAACTGCCACAATGCTGTTTAAGTCCTTTACCACTTGTTTTTCTTTTTTCTTTGTTTTGACATAGAGACCCAATATTTAGTCTTTGCTGGCTTGGAACTGCCTATAAAGGCTTGTCTTTGTCTTGCAATCCTCCTGCCTCAGACTGCCAAGTTCTGGTTATGTATTCTCACTTCCATCCAACTACTTATTTATTTAGTATCATCTTGACAGAACAAGTTTCTAGAAATTCTTAGTTTTTTTGTTGCTAACTTCAATCTATTTTTGGTTTTCAAATTACAGAGATATTACATTAGACCACCTAAGGTTAGTACAATGAACAGCTATGGTGTTTTTTAAAAAAATAAACAAACCATAGTTTGCTTCAACAGAGTTGTATGCAAAGTTAATTTGTGGTAAAAGCACAAATCCAGCCCTCCAAAAGCAGCAGTTTACTAACAACAATGAATCTTCTATTTCTGCCTTGAGTTCTGATCTGTTACTAGTCATGATATAAAATTACCTCATTTCAATTATAAAAATGTATGGAAAACTTAGTATTAACATTTGACAACTATATTTTCTGAAATTAGTAATGATGCTTATTGTGATGTCTTGTTTGCACAAATAAAAGTGACATGAAGATCAGAGGGCAGAATAGTTCACCATAGAGGTCTGGAGGTCTATAGAGACAGACAGGAAGTGATATTGCAAGGGGACAAACAAACAGGCCCTCCTTGCAACAAAGTGATAAGGTGGAAAGAGACAGGAAATCAGTCGCTTGACTAGGAAGTTGAGTGGCTGTGGTTTTGTTCCTTCATCTCTCTGATCTCTAAACATTTTCCCCAATAGCTAACTCTAGGCTATTATTATTAAGACCCATTAGAACTCATGCTACATGTTGGTGCCATTTGTAGCTGGAGGTTTCTCTCCAGCCTGCCAGTTCCTGAATATTCACTCTGAGGCTTAATATTTCCAAACTGTTTGGCCAATGACTTTGTTTATTACTAACTAGCCTTAACATCTTAAATTAACCCATTTCTATTAATCTATGTATAGCCACGTGGCCGTGGCATTACCTTACATCTTGTTTCTCCAGCGATGGCATCTCCCTGACTCTTCTTTCTTTCTCCCTATCTTACTGCTTGGATTTCCCACCTGGCTCTATTCTACCTGGTTACTGGCCAAATCAACTTCATTGTTAACCTGTTAACCAATGGTAATAAAACATATTCACAGCATGCAGAAGACCATCCCACATCAAATGTTTATATTTTTCTCAAATGTTATTTTATGTGAAGAAATTTAGATAATATATTCAAGTATTTTGGAGGTCTTATTTTCAGATTTATAATTGTATGCCACCTAGTGTCTTTGAATCAGAAAATGATATTTCCAGATACAAATTAATATCATTTTATTTATAAAGTGGCACTATTTTTCAGCCAGAATCTTAAGAATTGCAAATAAAATTAGTTTTTATGTAATATCTGAAGACTTTTTCTAATTTAATTTATGTATCTTAGAATTCCAATTTTCTTGTTCTTCATTTTTGTGACTTATAAAATTTAATTACTAAAAATTATATAGAAATAAAGTCAAAATTAACTTACTTGTCAGTTGCAAGGATTTTGGTGGGCTCGTAAACATTCCTAAATACCATTTTACTGTCACTTAATGAAAAAAATTGATATACTCAAAATGTGTTAGTTGCTTATCCCAAAATGCTACTACCAAAAAGTGATTTGTCAAGCTAATCTACTTCTCAGAGCCTTGATAGAGACTTTATATGGAGAAGAGTGAAAAAATTTTATGTGTGCATCAGGACATCTTTTTTTTTCTTGCTTCCAGTCAACCCAAGCTCAAAAAGACAAATATTTCATACTTTTTCTGATGTGTGATCCCTAGCTTCTAGCTGTTAAATATGTGTAAGTAGGATTGCGTAAGTGTTAGTTAAATTTAGGAAGTTAGAAAGGACCCCATGAAACTTGGGAAAAGTAGGGCTTTAAGGAAGGGGGTGAGGAAGATAATAAAATAAAATGGAAGAGGAAATACTGGGAATGAGAGTATACAAGAGAAATGGGAGGGTAGGAAGAAAAGGATGGGTAGGAGAAAAATCAACAAAAATTAAATATATATAAAATGTCATATGGAAACCTATTTTTAGTTAATTTAAAATACATATAAAATAAACGTTCTTTTTAACCAGAAGCAAGTTCCTCTTCTATTCCAATGTTCTTATTCTGTAAAAGAGTCTTTTGCAAATTATCATGTTTGTCTTTTTATTGTTTCAGAAAGTTATAACAAGTGAACAGTGAAGGTTGTAACCAATTTAATTAAATGAAAAATATTTATAGACTTATCATATGCCTAACAGTATTCTCATGCTATGCACCTTATAATTAAAAA